GACAAAACAGGTAAAGCGCTACCGGTTATGTTGAAAGTGTCGATAATTTATTATAAGTATCGACTTTTGGAATTAATAAGAGAAGAAGTTATAGCGCCAATAACATGTCGATACTTTATAAAAATGTATCAATCCATAACAATATAACATGTAAAAATATGACAAAACCGGTCTCGAAATGACAAAACAGGTAAAGCGCTACCGGTTATGTTGAAAGTGTCGATAATTTATTATAAGTATCGACGCTTTTGAAATTTAAAAGAGAAGAAGTTATAGCGCCAATAAAGTGTCGATATTTTATAAAAATCTATCGATCCATAACAATATAACAGGTAAAAATATGACAAAACCGCCTCGAAATGATAAAATAGGTAAAGCGCTACCGGATATGTTGAAAGTGTCGATAATTTATTATAAGTATCGACACTTTTGGAATTTAAAAGAGAAGAAGTTATAGCGCCAATAAAGTGTCGATACTTTATAAAAATGTATCGATCCATAACAATATAACAGGTAAAAATATGACAAAACCGGTCTCGAAATGATAAAACAGGTAAAGCGCTACCGGTTATGTTGAAAGTGTCGATAATTTATTATACGTATCGACACTTTTGGAATTTAAAAGAGAAGAGTTATAGCGCCAATAAAGTGTCGATACTTTATAAAAATGTATCGATCCATAACAATATAACATGTAAAAATATGACAAAACCGGTCTCGAAATGACAAAACAGATAAAGCGCTATCGGTTATGTTGAAAGTGTCGATAATTTATTATAAGTATCGACTTTTGGAATTAATAAGAGAAGAAGTTATAGCGCCAATAACGTGTCGATACTTTATAAAAATGTATCGATCCATAACAATATAACATGTAAAAATATGACAAAATCGGTCTCGAAATGACAAAACAGGTAAAGCGCTACCGGTTATGTTAAAAGTGTCGATAATTTATTATAAGTATCGACACTTTTAGAATTTAAAAGAGAAGAAGTTATAGCGCCAATAAAGTGTCGATATTTTATAAAAATGTATCGATCCATAACAATATAACATATAAAAATATGACAAAACCGGTCTCGAAATGACAAAACAAGTAAAGCGTTACCGGATATGTTGAAAGTGTCGATAATTTATTATAAGTATCGACACTTTTTGAATTAATAAGAGAAGAAGTTATAGCGCCAATAAAGTGTCGATACTTTATAAAAATGTATCGATCCATAATAATATAACATGTAAAAATATGATAAAACCGGTCTATAAATGACAAAAGGTGAACGCATATAGTGTCAATAAATTTATAAAAAGTATCGATCCAAAAAATATCGAAACCGATAATTATAATGTAATAGGTAAATTTGCAATGTTACAGGTATAAATATACCGATTTACTTATAAAATAAGTCAATATAAGCGCTACTTATTACATTATATAAGCGCTACCTAATATGTTATTGTACTTGATAATATTTCCGGTTAAATACCTATTTTATTATATAAGAGCTATCTATTACATTATATAAGCGTTACCTAATATGTTATTGTACTTAATAATATTTCCGGTTAAATAATATAACATAATCGATCTAAATTTTAACCGGTCACTTGTTTAACCGATCACACTATATATTAACCATTTTTTAAGCGCCGCACAGCGGAACTACCCGTTGATAATAGTGATTTTTTAATAAAAAATTGGTTCCTTTTTAATTTTAAGAATTATTATTATTTTATTAGGTTTGGTAAACTTTCAATCATGAACGTAATCCTTAAGCACCAAAGCATTAGATTGTGCCTCATTAATTAATATATTAAATCATAGTATATATCGTCGATTATTGTTTTAAAAAATAAAATATTATAAATTTTTAACTAAAACATATTATTTGATTTAATGATTATAGTAATTTATTTGAATTACAAGATTAATAATATGATTTGTAGTGTGTGAATTTATATGCAAATTTTTTTTTTAACATTCTCGTGTGATGTCTGATTAAAAAAGTGCATTACCGTTCCCATTTTTAACCCAAAATTTTCAATATTTTATGTGGTTTTTTCTCTCTCTCTTTGATTTTTATTTAACTGACGGTAATATTAATTTTATTATTAGTTGACAACCGCTAATGAGTATTAGTTCTCTTGTAACAAAGGTTGTCAACTAAATTAATTTTACACGATTCTCATGGCTTTTTGTATGTTTTTCGCATATCTTTGCGTTCGTTTTGGTATTTACATAAAAAATCATCATGACATTTATTTTCTAATTAGTTAGTCGGTGATCACGTATAGTTAGGTCCCTTCTTTGGTAAAAGGTTGTCTGCAGATGTAATCAGAATTGTGTAGCGAAATAATCTGCCAGATTGTTTGGTTCGCTTACCACTCTTTTATCACTTTGTAAAATATCTCATTCAACAGAGATAATGAGTTTTATGAAATTTAATCGATTTTGATGTTGGTGATCATTCTCAATTGAAAGTTGTTTTTCTTCATATATTTAAGTTTATATTTTATTTTTGTATGGGTAGCTTTAAAAGTTACCTATAATTTAACAATTTTGGCATCTATTTTGACATAGAAACTCGATGAAGAAATTTTTGGTAGTAAATTTAGGCTTTTAGCCTTATAACATTTTTATCATAAGATCTGATAGCTTAAAAAAATACTATTTTTTTATTTTATTTTATTGTATTCAACTCAAATGTTATTCAAATTTTATATCAAATGTTATTTAAATTATCATTATCAATTAAATTTATCTTTTATATTATGTTTTATGTATGTTATAATTGTTAGATAATTTTTCTTTACAAAATTTAAATGTATAGTTTTTTTTTTCATATTTTAGAGAATTAATCTCGTTCAATACCAATATTCATTTATTATAAAATTAATTATCATTTCAATGCCAAAATTATTTGTATTAATCATGTAAAACGTTAATATAAATTACATAATAAATACTTACATTATTAATATTATTTTTTCTTTAAATAAATTAAACTATATAATTTACATAAATTAAACTATATTAATTTACATTTAATCATTGTTCAAGGCCAATAATTTTATTAATCATGTTTTATATAATAAGTCTATTTATTAATGTAATTATCATAATAAATATTTTATTATAACATTTAAAAAATAATCATATTAATTTTTTAATTATACTATAAAATCAAAAACTCATAATTTTATTAAAATCTTATAATTTCGTTCATAGTAATATGTAAGTCATGTAAATGTCAAGTCAGATAAATATTGAATCAGGTCAATAGCAAGTTGGATCATTTACAAGTTAGGTTAAAAACAGGTCAGGTTGAAAATAGGCCACGTAATACCAGTTATTTACCAGGTCAATCTCGGGTTCAGGTTCATATCAGTCGGATGCAGGTCAGGTTCAAGTATCATTTTTTCAGTTCAATTCGGGTTCAAGTTGTTCTCAGGTCGGGTGCAGTTCGGGTGCAATTCGGGTGCAAATTCACAATTTCCAGGTCCAACTCGGGTTCAAGTAAACACTAGTTCTGACTCGAGTCGATTTCGAATCGCTACAACACAAGTTAAAAACAATTTTGACTCTAGTCGATTTCAATCAGTTTTGCATGTCGGGTCAGCTTTTTAGAGCCCTAGCTGCATTTAGAAGAAGCAAGAAGAAAGGTAAAATAATCAGTTATTCATTTGAAATTCCTCAAAGTGAAGGATTTTTTTGTGATTTTTTATAGTTGGTGTTGTTGTGTTAACTTGGTGTAACGAGGAATAACGGGAGCGGCGATCGACATTTATTCGTTAAATTGCAGTCACTATGAGTGTGATTTTGCTTTATACAACGATTTTGCTCAATAACGATATCGGATGTGGCCGTGATCACAATATAGCGATTGCTATTCTGCGACACAACCTCAATTTGAATCCCTATGCAAAACCATCCTTCGACTGCCCAACCCGATGATGATTTAATTGACATTGAGGATGAAGATATCGAATTACTAGATGAAGACGTCCGTGTTGGTGAAAGAGATGGGATCCCCTTCATCCATTTCTCTAACCGGATTCAACATTTGGCAATTAAAAGTATGGATTTGTTATAAACAAAGGACCAAATGGGAAAGTAGAACCGTTACAACTGTCAAGGGGATCACCTGAAGATATTGTAAGTTATTAGTGGGATTTTATTTTAATTTTATAGTAGAAATATTAGTATAAATATGTTAGGATGACCTAGAGATGGGGATATGATATTTGTTAAACATTTGGCTACGGCTACTTTCTTATCTAGGTTCAGTGTTCCTTGCTGAAACCTTTCGTTTCTACCTTGTTATCCTCTCTCTATTTCTCTACTGTTATTATTGAAATTACAGGAAGTTCATAACATTTGGTGCTTTCGTTGAGAGTCGAAAGAAATGGTTACCACTGCTGAATCGATCCGAACACTACAAAAGCAAAAGATAACAAGACAACTATAGTTGACAGCAACTCATGTGGGTCAAATGAACGAAACTAGAACAGTAATTGGAGAATCTGGAGAAGTTCAAGTTTATTTGCGAAAGGCTACTGTGAAAGAGGAGATGGAAGCTAAGTTTTCGTTCTCCCCAGAACTGATTAATGTTGAGTTATATAAGTTTGATGGAACATATCCATAATCATGGATTTCTAATGCTGAAGAGTTCTTCAAGTTTTACCAAACAGAGGATAATCTCCGAATTACCACCGCTGCATTTTACTTTGACAACCCGTTTGGATCAAGGATTTTTACATTCCCAACCGGTATATATTTTTCCTGGATATTCATGTTTAGTTGAATAAGATTTTCAAATGAAGATAATATTTTAATATCAACAGTAAATTTTGGTGTTTTATTTGGGTATTATTTTATTTCACTGCTAAGGGCTAAAATACCCTTCTTTTCCCCCGTGAACTTGCCTCTGTACGGTATCTTCTTTTTCCCCTTGAGCTTGCCTCTGCCAAAAATTCTTCTCCAGTTTAGATTTCTTCTCCACTCCAGTCTTGCTTGGAGAGGTGGTGGTTGTAACTGTTGCAAGTGATGCTAATGGCGGCCTTCTCAGCCACGATATCCGGCTCCTCACGCTTCCTCTCATCTACCTCATTGCCTATGCGGAAGATCCCTGCTTCTTCTCCTTCTCCTCAATGCCGCTCCTTTTTCTCTTCCTAAGCCTTTTCCTCTTTACAGGTTTTCAGTTTTTCCGCTTCAGTTCTATAAACTCTGTTTGGTTCTCAGAAAATGATGCTTATTGCTGGCCAAATGATAGCTATAACGCGTTATTTATCCATTTATCTCGTTTTTCTTCTCTTTAAGCATGTTTGAAGTGTTTCTTCCTTTTTAATGTTTTTAATTTCATGGAGGTAAAATCGATCTGGTCTTATTTCGATTATGATTATAAGTACATAACTTAGATGCAAGGAGATAAAAAATTGGACAGCGGTTGTATATAGATTGATCTCGTTCCCAAATTTTGACTTGATATGCTTGTAGCTTATAAAAAATCTAAGAAAGAAAGAAAAGAAAAAGAGAGAGGAAGAAGTGTGAATATATTTATATTGTTTATATTTTTATGAATAACAAATGAACTTTTTAGTTCAATATGGATCGATTGCGTCTTTTAATTTATTTTTTATGGTTGAACTTTTTGCTACTTTAATTCCTGTCTTTATGATTACGGTCGTGTTTCTAAGCAAATCTTGAAAACCTACCGACTTACTTCACTGTGATGAGTGCTTTTGATGATTTGTGCCTATGGTGTTGTAAGGACCTTAATGCCTAGAGCCTCTCTTTCGCTATGTAAAACTACGGTTGGAGTCCTTGTAATATAGGCATAGGCTATTGATGTGTTGAATGCTCAAATATGTATCCACAATTGAGATTCGGCCAATTCAAACTCCAATAATAGGCTAATTGCTTAATGAAAATGTGGACCCTTGTTTTCTTTCCCACCACAATATAAATTTAAACACTTAAGTAGCTAATATGGAGGATCTGGGTAATTTGTTTGGACATGTCATCAAATAACCTGTCCTTTTATTTAATGAAATATGAGGTACTCTTTTCTTCATTCTAATATTCGTTAATTGTTAGTATGTGGACGAATACAAAGGGAGTTTTTAATGAGACCTCCAATTTTTATCAAAAAATATTTTACTAAGACACTAATGAGTTTCTCTTATTATCTATGTATTCCAGATTAAATATTGGTTCTCGGTTGGAAAGAGGGAAGTCATTAACTATCTATGCCCAGACTTCAGTATCAGGTTTGTTTTACATGTAGTTCTCTTTCATGTTTTTAATAGCAAGTTTTGGATTCATTTCATATCTTTACTCTTGAAGCCTGTTTCAGTTTTCTCTCTGGTATCTATCATTGACGTATCTGCAATTGCTATCTGATGTGGTCATTATCTAAGACGAACTTCTACGGAATTTATTTGTTGTGTAACTTATGTATTTTATCCGTGTGTATGCGTCAATGGGTATTGGATCTCTTTGTTCATTGATTTAGGTTCTAGGCTTTACTAAAATCATCTAAATGTTAATCAGTACCAGAGATAATTTTCTACAACTTTAGCTTTGGACTTCTGTTTCTTTTACCTTGATCCACTTTTGTACCTCATTTAGATTTTCCATGTATAATTTCCTTAAGAGAGAGAGACCTGGAGCTACTCTTGTCTTCAAAACATAAAGAGTAAAAATAAGATAACAGAAAAAAGAAAGAAATGATGATGGTTTTTTAGTTTTTAATTTAATTTTTGTAATATTGTTGCTATATTAGCTCAGTTTTTGTCTCATCGCTACCTTAATAATGCATAAGCTGAACCTATGGTTTAAATTTGACACTCTATGCAATTTGTTCGATTCCACTCCAGTAAATGTTGAGACTAAATTTCAGAGATTAAACTATATGGATTGACTTTTATATGTCCTTTGATCTAGCGAATTGACTAGTCCGTCTTTTCAACCAATAGAAAATATCTGCTAGGATAAACATTGTAATTAATGTTGGCCTGATTTACATGATTACATATATCACATATTTGCTTAATCAAATAGTCTGTAGGTTATTTACTACTGGTTATTGATATTTAAAAGTTACATCTTTACTCTCTCTCATTTACAGATATTTCTGTAGAGAAATCGATGGATGAAGTAAATCTTCCCAAGGGAGACATGTGGGCTGTCCATAAGTTTGGGGGCACTTGTGTTGGGACCTCCCAGAGGATCAAGAATGTCGCAGATATAATTATTAGCAATGATTCAGAAAGAAAGTTGGTAGTGGTATCGGCCATGTCTAAAGTGACAGATATGATGTATGACCTTATCAACAAGGCACAATCAAGGGATGATTCCTACATCTCTGCATTGGATGATGTCTTAGAAAAACATAATTCTACAACACTTGATTTGCTTGATGGAGATGATCTTGCTACTTTCTTATCTCAACTGCATCATGATGTTAGTAACCTAAAAGAAATGCTTCGTGCAATATATATAGGTTAGAACACTCTCTCTGACCTCTGTTCACATCTTTTTTAGACCAAATGAGTTGGCTCGAACTTCGCCTGCAACTTAACATCATCTTTTAAATGGTAGCTATGGATTTTTTTTTCTTTTCCTTTTTCATGTATGATCATTCTTTTTGCAAGGTTAGCTCTATATGTCTTCGAAATAGAATCGATTATTGTGTTCACTATCTTGGAACAGAACAACTATGTTTTTCAAGGACATGTTAAGCTTCACTTCATTTCATTATTCTCTTTTCCATAACTTCCTAGCTCAATGTCTAGGAAAATAACAACCCAATTGTTCTTTTGCTTACGATTTTTAACAAAGGATATTCTTTGTTCTCCATGATTCATAAACACATATTTAACGATATTAATAAAAATAAAGTGGTTTTGTTGGCCGTCGGCGATTCACCTATTTAGAATGTAAACCTTATTGATTGAAAAGTGAACGCGTCACGTATGAACCGAAATTAATTTCCACAATGTAAATATTTAGTTAAATGTTTATGTAAAATTTTAATATATTTTTACATAAATTATGTAAAATTTAATATTAATTAAAATTAAAATAATACATAATATATTTAAATACTCAAGTAATATATTATCAACTGATAGAATTTTTATATAAATAATTTTTATTTAAATATTTAGAATTTCACTTGTTAAAAAATATAGAACAATGACAATTTGGTAAAATATACATTCCAGTTATATTTTATTCCTCCAACCAAATACTGTAATCTTACACTCCTGTCAAACCAACCAAATACAGTAATGTAACATTCTCAGTAATCCTATTCTCTGGTAATCTTTTATTCCCACTGGTAATCTTACATTCTGTAAACCAAACGCACCCTGAAGGAATAGCTCGTCGATGGTATCTATGGATGAAGCAGCATCATCAGCTAACATGTTGGGAAAATTTCACCAAGGCGATGATTGCAAGATTTAAATGAACTAATCGAGACAACCCAAGCACAATGGTTCACTATGTGTTCGATAAATTGCCAATGACAACAAACACCGAATTTGTCGCTAAATCAATTAAGGGTGGAAAGGGAGATGATTTCCAAAATTATAAAGCAATGATACAGGGTCATTTTGAGGAGATGGCTCTATTGTTGTCCACGGCCAATAAACCTGGGCTAAATTATGATAAACCTGCTGAAGTAAAATGTTTTTCAAATCAGAAGCTCGCTCGACCTTTATCAGCAGTTAAAGCTCTGAGTTAAGAATAAAATGGATACGACAACTACTGTGATGAACAATACATTGTCACTCATAAGTGCAAGGCTCTTCATTTGTTATCATTGAACAATAACATTGAGGAATAAGACGATGCTAAGTTTGAGGAAGAATCTAATGTTAAAACTTTGGTTCAAAAGTTGGAATTAGAAGTATCTGAGATGGTGTTGGGAGTTATGTGGAAAACTATTTTGTGGTCAACAGACACCTCAATTGGTACATTACCAGCTTCAATCGATTGATGAAATGAGTTGGAAAGAAAGAGCTCTAGATGTCAAAGTCACAAGGGCTTTTGAATCACTTCAAATATATTTTTACTAAGCCAAAAGGATTTTTTTCGGTGCAAGATACTGACCATAACGTTCTTTTTATCCCGAAGGGAAATTAGTCTTTGAACTTGTAATAGCAGGCTTCTTTGGGAATTCTAAAACTTCATTCCAACATCATGGACAAAGAAGTGCAGGTATGAAAATGATAAATAGTGTTAGTTTTCAACTAAATATCAATGTTTTAGTTGAGGGGTATAAATTTGGACATATAAATGTTATATTTAGTGAAAACACATCTAAGACTGAACAGATTTAGGAAGAAGAAAAATCTTATTTATTCGAATAGGAGTGCACCTTTTTTAACATAGTAGAAAAAAATAAAAAAGGAAATAATCTCTAATATTTACAAAGAAATAATCTCTAATAATAAGCCTATCCCTAAAAATCAGTAATTAGATTATGACTAATATTTACAAGGAAATTCCTAGAACTAAGGTAGAGAATCTCCTTAATTTAAGGATTTCCAACACTCCCCCTCAAGTTGGAGTGTAGATGTCAATCGAACCTAGCTTGCCCATAATTTCTTCGAACCTTTTTCTGCTCAAGCTCTTGGTTAACACATCTGCTACTTGTTGTCGAGTAGGTAGATATGAAACACAAACTTCCCCTTTGTTAATTTTCTCTGTAATAAAGTGACTATCGATTTCCACATGCTTGGTGCGGTCATGGTGTACAGGGTTGTGAGCTATACTAACTGCTGCCTGGTTGTCACAGTTTAGTATTATAGGTGTTGTATAGGATAATTTTAGTTCTCCCATTAGCCGTTGTAGCCACATTCCTTCATATATACCTTGGGACAGAGCTCGATACTCAGTTTCAGCACTGCTGCGTGCCACAACTGACTGCTTTTTACTCCTCTATGTCACGAGATTACCCCAAACATAGCTGCAATAACCACTTGTGGAGCGCCTGTCATTAACAACACCTGCCCAGTCTACATCAGTGTAGACTTCTATGCTTCGATTTACATTTTTCTTGAAATGCAACCCCTTATCCGGAGTCCTTTTTAAGTATCTCAATATCCTGTAGGCAGCTTCCAAATGTTTCTCCCTAGGAGCATGCATAAATTGACTAATAACACTTACTCCAAACTCTATGTCTGGACGAGTATGAGAAAGATAGATAAGTTTCCCACTAACCTTTGATATATCTCCCTGTCTACCTCTTCTCCATCCTTATCAGTTCCTAATTTAAGGTTGGGTTCCATGGGAGTATCGGCTGGTTTGCAACCCAACAGTATGACTTCAGAAAGTAGATCAAGAACATAATTTCTTTGAGAGATTGAAATATCTGCCTTTGACCTTGCTATCTCCATTCCAAGAAAATATCTAAGATTCCTCAAGTCTTTAAGTTGAAACTCAAGACTTAAGAATTCTTTTAGTCTTTCAATTTCAATAGAGTCATCTCCTGTCAATATTATGTCATCAACGTATACAATGAGAATACAACACTTCCCATTAGCCGAGTGTTTGTAGAATAAGTGTGATCAGCTTGACCTTGAATATAATGTCTACTCTTCATGGTTTTGGAAAAACGATTAAACCAAGCCCTGGGGGATTGTTTTAGTCCATACAAAGACTTCTTCAACTTGCATACTTAACCCTTGCTTCCTTCGAATCCGGACGGTAAATCCATGTAGACTTCTTCGTTTAATTCTCCATTGAGAAAAACATTCTTTACATCCAATTGGATCAAAGGCCAATCTAAATTGACAACAATGAAGAGCACTCAAATAGTATTTAGTTTGGCCACTGGTGCAAATGATTCCCCGTAGTCTAACCCATATGTTTGAGTGAAACCCCTGTCCACAAGTCTAGCCTTGTATCAATCAATGCTCCCATCTGGTTTAATTTTCGTAGTGAAAATCCACTTACAACCCACGGTATTCTTTCCAGTAGGTAGCTTAGATATTTCACACGTTCCATGGTCTTCAAGAACCTTTATTTCTTCCAACACGGCTCGCTTCAATTTGGTTGACTTAAGAGCCTCTTCTATGTTTTTTGGAGTTTCTACAGAGTTAATATTAGAAATAAAGGCATTGTAGGATTTAGACAAGTTCCCATAGGATACAAACCGAGAAATGGGATGTTGAGTGCAGCTTCTAGTGCCCTTTCTAACTACAATTGGGAGATAGATGGAAGACGAAAGAGGTGAGACTTCTTCCTCAGGACAGTCTTCGGGTTAAGATGGCATTAGCACTGCTGTTTCAGTTTCTGGAAGCTGATGTTTCCGAGAGTATACACGAAGCTGCTGAGTTTTTTCTTGTTGTTTTTCAAAAGGAGGGGGCTATATTTCTTCATTTGTATGATTAATCACCCTTGTTCTTGTTCCTGCATAGTGTAGTCGAGTAAAATAGGGTCCAAATCAGGAATTACAGTGGCTGTAGGATTTTCAGTAGTGGTTGTAGCATTTTCAGTAGGTTTTGTAGTGGTGGTAGGATTGATAAAGTCTTGAGGTATAATGAAAAGGTTATTCAAGGTCTCATCTTCACTAAATATCTCCCCCCGAAGATGAGTGGCTGAAAAATGTGGCTCATTTTCGAAGAAAGTAACATTAAGGGACATAAACATCTGGTGTAGGGTTGGAGAATAGCACTTGTACCCCTTTTGTGTAGGTGAGTATCCAAGAAAGACACAAGTGTGGGCTCTAGGATCAAGTTTAGATCGGTTAGGTTGATGATTGTGGACAAATGCTTTGCAACCAAAAGTTTTGGTTGGGAGATTAGGAACACGAAACAAGGGAAATTTGTTTTGAAGAGTATGTAAAGGTGTTTGAAAGTTTAATACCTTTGATAGGAGTCAGTTTATAAGATAACATGTAGTGAGAACAACTTCTCCCCATAAATACTTCGGTACACCCATAGTAAACATAAGAGCACGGGCCATGACTACAAGGTGTCTGTTTTTCCTCTCGGAAACCCCATTTTGTTAAGGGGTATCGGGAAAAGAAATCTGATGTATGATTCATTGCTCAGAATGATAAGGGCTTAGGATAAAATTAAAGTACTCTCTCCCATTATCATTTCTAAGGGTACGAATTTTGGAATTGAACTGAGTTCGAATCATTGAATGAAAACTTTGGAAGACTCTAGAGACTTCGGTTTTTTCTTTGAGGAGATATACCCAACAAACTCTAGTGTGGTCATTAATGAATGTTATGAACCACCTAGCCCCTGTGACATTTTTACTCGTCTGGCTCCCCATAGATCAATGTGGATTAAAGAGAAAGGTTGAGAATGAACATAAGGTTTCAA